CTTAGAGTGCCGTCGGCCAGACAATGCCGGCTGGCGACCCCCAGGGGGAGAGCCTTCTCTGTGGCAGCTCCTGCCCTCTGGAATGACCTACCCCCCGACCTACGTACAGTTGCAGACCTGCGCCTTTTTCGCCGAGCCCTGAAGGCCCATCTATTCCGTGCGGCCGGCCTGGCGTAGTTTGATTATGTTTCAGTGGGGGTTTTTGTATGGGTGTGTTTTTAGAACAGGCCTGTTATTTAATTCGATTTTAGAACAGATACTATTTATTTATTATCGTGGTTTTTAGTATCGCCTGTTCACCGCCCTGAGTCCCGTAAGGGAGATAGGGCGGTATATAAATTTTATAAATAAATAAATAAATAAATAAATGTCTCAGGTGTTTAGGGTGTGAGCCCAAGTTAACAAAACTGTTGTAAAAATAAAGAATGAGTAAGAAACAGTGGTGGGATTCAAATATGTGAACAACCGGTTCTCTGTGTGGATGCCACTTCCGGAAGTCCATTCTGGGGCTGGGCAACCAAAAATTAGCTACTGGTTCTGCCGAAGTGGTGCGAACCAGCTGAATCCCACCACTGGTGAGAAACCATATAAGGCACCCTGAGATCTTTAGAGGATGCACAGAATATAGATGTAATGAATTAATAAAAACATTACATTACAAAACATTACAAAAGAAAATATGCACTTACTTCATAGGATTATTTTCAGGCAAATAATAAATAAAATCTCTCATCATCATTTTGGAGCGATCTTCTGGCGTATTTTTTTCAATTACTGGATATTTAAATTTCACTTGTTTCTAGAAACATAAATTAATATAGTTTTATAATTCCATAGATTTTTATTTAAATCTTGTTTCAAATTTTATCATTTATATATATTTAAGAGCTTTCCATTTGCCATATTCAGTTGCTAGCTTGTTTTATTTTTTGTTTTGCTGATATAACTATCTGCTATTATTTTAATTATTTTAATACATTTTATAATGTTGAGAGATAGCAGAAAAACAGACATACGTTTAAATTTTAAAAGTGTATTTGTATGATATAATGAAAGCATAACTAATTACCACTAAATGAAAATTTGTCATACAACTTACACTACCATATTCAGAAAGCAATTCATTTTCTGCAGCCCCTCCCCTTACTTAGATGGAAGAATTAGAATGGGTGTGATCGACCAATTGATCTCAATGTGAGAGAGCCTACTAATCACACATTGACTTAAATCCCTGTTATTTGCCAAAAGCATCAGATAGAAATTAAGAAGCATTAAAATTACAAAAATAGTTACTTTCTCTTTCTTCAATTCTTCTTTAAGCATCTTCCTTAGCTTCTGACTTTTGATAATTTTCTCACGATCTGAACAAATCCTTTTCTTATTTGTTGAAGCAGATTTTGTCTGCGTTGTTTCCTCTTCCATCAATGTTTCTTGGGTGGGTCTTTCTTTGAGGGGCGAGCTTGTATTCTTCGGGAGAGCTTCATCATTTCTTTGAGCTGGCATACACATGCTAGGTTCTTTACTAGCAGATTTTTTAAATGGAGAGAACTGTGGCACTTGAGGAGCAGAAGTTTTCTTTTCGGGCAATATGGAAGACTTGGGAGAACTTTCCACATCAATCTTTTCAAGTAAAGATGTTTCTTTTTGAAACAAAACATTACTAAAAGCAGGAGAGTGAGGTCCTTGTTTTAGAGAGCATTTTGATGACGAATCAACAGTGGGTTGTATAGGTGGAGGTACAATTTTTGGTTTTATGAGATTAGGCATAGTGGATATCCGTTTTCTTCTCTGTGGAAATCCTTCTGCATTTTTCCTGCGGTCTCCATCTCCACTTTTATCACTGGTCTTTTCATTTCTGGAAAATTAAGAGAAATATTAGCTAATGACAAAACTTCTTTGAAAGATAGCAGGGTAATTATGCTATATTATAGTTAACATAATTGTACTATGTTATAGTTAATTCTTATGGAAAACACTCAGATGCTGTCAGATTAATCTTGAGATCTAAACAAATATATTAGGATTTTATGGCTAAATGAATATAGCTCAATAAATCAATTTCCCAGAAACAGAAGTATATTATCAACAAATATTTATATATTTGATAATATAATATATTTATACACTGCCATGATTGGTAAAAAAAACAACTCAATAAGCAGGGCAAAATACTACAATTTTACAATGCAGGTTCATGAATCCAGTAGTTATTTAATAAAAAAAGTTCTGTGAATATTTTGGGTTTCCTGATCTATACATACCAACTCAGAAATAACTACCTCTGAGATTAGTGGGATTTACTTCCATGTAAATATATAAAATATATCACAATGCTATAATTAAATCCTGTGCATGTCTGTTAAGAACTAATTAATCTATTTTTATTTTGTGATCTGATTTTGAAAGGCAGAAATACTTTTAAAAACATTAAAGTATCATCATAATGACAAGAATAAAAAAAATGTTAATAAACAGAATTTCAACAACTTTGGTCATATTTTTAAATATGTACTGAAAACTGATAAATTAGGTTACAAGCAACACATATCAAAAACCTTGCTGCAAGTTAAGTCTTGATTTTTCCTTTTAATGTTACAGAGTTATTATCTGAGCTCTCTCTCTCTCTGCTTGTACTACAATGTATGTAACACTATACAGGTAGTCTTCGACTTACAACCACAATGAAGCCCAAAATTTCTGTTGCAAAGCTGCAAAGTGAATTTTGCTCCGTTTTGCAACCCTTCTTGCCACAGTTGTTAAGTGAATCACTGCAGTTGTTGAGTTAGTTACACAGTTGTTATATGCAGGGCTTTTTTTCTCATAGAACGCCCAGAATGGAGTTCCTGCACCTTTTCTGGATGGAACCTTGTAGCTACCCTACAAGGCAGGTTGTATGACATGTGTGAGTTCCGGCACCTTTTTTATTTTAGAAAAAAAGCACTGGTTATGTGTATCTGGCTTCCCCATTGACTTGGCTTGTCAGAAGATCACAAAAAGGGATCATGTGACCACGGGAGACTGAAACCATCATAAATATGAGTCAGTTGCCAAGCATCCAAATTTTAATCATGTGATCATGAGGATGCCGCAATGGTCAGAAGTGTGAAAAATGGTCACAAGTTACTTCTTTCAGTGCTGTTCTAACTTCAAACTAAATGAACTGTTGTAAGTCGAGGACTACCTGTACATGTTATCTAATTAATTATAAGAAGCTGATATTAAAGGCTTATGAGATTGGCAGGGACTTAAATAACACAGCCCAAATTTCTGATGAACATCCTGACAGCATTATTCATTGTACAGGTGACTGATAATATGTTTTATATACTATATTATCATTGGATCAGAATTTGGCTAATGCAATGCTTCTGCATTATCACCACTACACTTGGAAAATTTCTCTATATCAGAACAGCAAGTTGGTAGGATTCCTACAGTCTATTTAATGCCAATTACTCTGCATGTTCACACATTACAAGTCACTAGATTCAAGTCCAAACAGCTCTGTTATTACAACACAAACCTAAAGTTCTTTCACACATCTCTTTGAGATGGGGGTTTTGCTGACTCAGAAGAAAGGTATGAACCAGAAGGAAAAGCATTTTCAAAGCCGGGTCCTCAAATACCGTAGTAAACGAGCGTCATACATCTAATTTCAAATCTGTCGCTCAAGTCAGCTAAAAAAGGAAACAGGGAAGCTCTGATGATTTCTGGCAAGAAGACCAGTGCAAAAGCATCAGTGACAAGCTAAAAACAAACCTAAGTTACCTGATACTGTTGTTACTGTCCCCACTCAGGTGAAGATCTTCAGAGGCGGCAGCATCACCGGGATGGGGCACCGAATTATCCTCGGCCGTAGAAGACCAGGTGGTCGGTGTCGAGTCAGGTTGGCCGTCGGCATCAGCGGTGGTGGCGGCGGAGGCGGCGACCGCCGGGATAACTGAGCTTGTGCTGCCTCCACTATGGCCGCTTCTCCCTGCAGCATTCGGCCGTACATTGGGCTTCACGCTAAACCTGGAGCGGCGGAACATGGTGTCGCGAGGGAGAAGCTCCGGCACCAGTGAAAGTCCAGCGTCGCCGGCGAGGCCGCCTCATGTCACCGGCCCCGCTCGGTCCAATTCCAGCTCCCCGCCCTTCCTTTCTGGGAGAGGGCTGAATCAGCTGCTCCTAGATGGCGTTAGTCGCGTCATCATTCTGCGACAAAGCAACCCGAAAGGTTTGGTTCTTATTAATTGTTCGCCTGCAATGCAGAAATTGAATTTTGCATTTCAGAATGTGCTGAAGAAAGGGCAGGTGGTTTATTAATTCATCGTTGGATATGAGATGGGTGGCAAATGCGTTTTCTAAATAAATCCCGTATATGGTAAAGCCTATGCCATTTTCTGTATTTCGTTCCCATCTAAAGTCTTGTTCTTATCCCCACCCAATTGCGCAATTCTGTATCATTATCCTGTTTATTTTCATTAAGAAAGGATGCCTTAGCCTACAGTTCCATTAATGGGGAAGAAGGGACTGTAATTTCCAGAATTTTACACTGAGACACAAGATTAGAAAAATGCCATTATTATAGAAATAGTGTGAGATAAGAACGTAAGTGCCTCTTGAGTTCAAAGATTTTAAAAAGTATGTCCTATTGCAGGGTAGGCAACCTTGGCTGCCCTGTCCTAGGGACTTCAATTGCATTAATATAAAATTCACTCTGATACAACAATAGAGAGTAAATCCACTCCCTCTTCCATGTGACAGTCATTCAGATAGTTAAAGATTGTTTCCTTATCTCCTCAATCTTCACTTTTTGTAGCTAAATGCTTCCAGATTCTTTAAATACATCATTTCACACAGGACTTGATTTTCAAACCTCTTACAATCTTATAGCTAACTAATTCCAATTTCTCACTATTCTTTTTGAACAATCATTTCTCTGGACCAAATTTATCTGATTACAATCAATGACATAACATAGTCACCAAAATGATTTATTGGAACATCTGTAAAAATTATCATGGACCAGTAATGAAAAATTATTTGAATCTCATATTTATTATTTTCACAAATAACTCAAGGCAGCAAACATATCCAAGACACCTTCCTTCTCCTATTTTCCCCACAACAAAAATCCTGGAAGGTGGGTTGAATTGAGAGAGAGTGACTGGCCCAAAGCTGGCTTTCATGGCTAAGGGGGGACTTGAACTCATGTCTCCCATTTTCTAGCTTGGTTCCTTAACCACTAGTCTAGACCAAACTGGCAAGAACATAGAGTTGAAAAAGCAGCAAGTTAATATATCATGGGATTTCTGAATACAGACTGATAAAGTCTTGGCTCATAACACACAAGACATACAGTAACTATGGTTTGAAAAAAGAAAATATGGATAATTGATGTGGCAATACCAGGGGACAGTAAAATAGAATACAAAAAATTGGAGATTTTAAGTACGGTATTAAGATCTAAAAATTGAAACTGAAAGATTATGGCATAAACCAGCTCTTGTGTTCTCAGTAGTTATCTGTCCACTGGGTGCTGATACCTAAAAAATTGGGATGGCACTTAAAACATTCAAATGTCAGTTGCAAAAGACCACAATACTTGGACCCACATATATACTACGCCAATATATAACGTTTTGGGTTCTTGAGAAGAACCCAATGCTTATAAAGACCAATAGCAGCTAAAGAACTGACAACTGACTTTCCATTGTTGTGAACAGAGAATAATAATGAGAAGGACTAGAATCGGTGAATAAAAATGACAAATCCAAGTTAAATATCGGGCTGACTGGGCGACCAACCATAATATGCATTTTTTCCTAGGTCTTCTTTCGATAGCAACAGGTTAGATTATTTGAATCATGCTATTCTGTTAGACCAGTGGTTCACAACCTTTTTAATGCCGCGACCCCCAACCGGTCGTAAGTCGAGGACTAAACCGGTCGTAAGTCGAGGACTAAACCGGTCATAAGTCGAGGACTACCCAACCGGTCGTAAGTCGAGGACTTTCCCTGCCCGGGAGCGCCGCGCATGTGTGGTTCCGCCCCCTGCGCCGGCCGAGGCGTAGCTGGCAAGCGGCAGAGACGGAGCAGGCCGACCACCAGCTGGCCCAACCCAAGGGAGGTAAGGCACCCGCCGGAAAAGGGGGAAAAAATGGCGGACAAAAAAAATGGCGGACAGCCTTGCTTGGCGACCCCCGTGAAATGGTCGATCGACCCCAAATGGGGTCCCGACCCACAGGTTGAGAACCACTGTGTTAGATAGTGTTTCTCAACCTTGACAATTTTAAGGCATGTGGACTTCAACTCCCAGAATTCCACAGCCAGCAATGCTGGCTGTGGAATTCTGGGAGTTGAAGTCCACATGCCTTAAAATTGTCAAGGTTGAGAAACACTGTGTTAGCAGGAGAAAAAAAAAAAAGTTGACTGGTGCCCGCTAACTTGGAAGCTCCTGCCGTAGTTCAGACCCGGCGGAAGGACTACAACTCCAGTCAGCTGCTGAAGCAGACGTCACCACCCAAAAGGAGGCTTTGCTAGAATGGCGCAAGCGCAATAAGAGACAGGGCGTCACTGAACAAGCTCGATTCGGGACGGAGAGATGTGTGGCGTGACGTCACGGAGGCGGACCTTTACTTAATAAAAAAAACTTGGGCGGGTGGGGCAAGCAGAAGGTTCTGGTAGTTGGAGCGGTTGGTGGGGAGTTGGAGCTTGCGAGCGTAACGGTTGTTATCGCTGGGGTTATTGTTTTGCCATGGCCCGTAAGTATTCGGCCCGACTCTTTCCCCCCCCCCTTCCCACCAGCGCTGGGTCGGTGCCCGTTAGGGGGCGAGAGGGGCAGTTCATTGCGCATCGGGCCTAGCGGAGGCGGTAGGCCAGAGAGGCAGGGAGGCGCCTCTCTGCCTGTTGTTCGTGGCATCTCTATGGTGGGCGGCGATCTTGGGGGGGTCAGCAACCTATTTAATAAAAGTGGAAGCTTCTGCGAGGTGCGTCGCAATCGGTGTTGGTTTATGGATTTTGTTAACCGTCGCCGCCCAGGGCTCCAAATAACGCTTTTGCAAGGAAAAGCTGGCTGGGGAAAGCTTGGGCAGCTTTGACCCTTCGCTTCCGCGGTTTTTTATCCGCTCTCCGGGCGAGGGGGGAGCCGTTCAGCGTTTGTAAAAAAAAAGGTGGCGTTGTCAACTGCGGCCCTCGTCATCCTCTTAAGTCTGCGAGGTGAACTGACCATATCACCGAATTTTACACTCAAATCTGCCTGGGGCTCAGTAGCTCTGAAAAGCTTCGAGAGTCAGCTGTGAAAAACTGTTCGGCCGTTCGCGTTGCCCTCAAGTGCAACGACCGCAGCACAAGCATTACTTGGAAATAGTTGCTTTGCAAAGATCGAAACTGAGCACCATCCTCTATGGCAGGGTTTCTCAACCTTGACCATTTTAAGGCCTGTGGACTTCAACTCCCAGAATTCCACAGCCAGCATTGCTGGCTGTGGAATTCTGGGAGTTGAAGTCCACAGGCCTTAAAATGGTCAAGGTTGAGAAACACTGCTCTATGGGTATTTTAAAGAAGCCCCTTAGCTTGTCTCCTTAAGCAGCAGGTGTTGGCGATTTGAGCGTATAGTAATTATGACTTGAACTAATGTGGATTTCTGGAGAAAAATAGTTCAGTGTGATCTGCTTTAAAATTACAGAAGTCTAACCGTTATTCCATAAACAAATTGGGCAAACTAAACGTATGCACTAGATTGTAGCTGAAAGTCTGAGAAATAATGTGTTTATTGTTTGTTTATTTAGATTTGTGTACCGCCCTATCTCCCTTACGGGACTCAGGGCGGTGAACAGGCGATAATAAAAATCACAACAAATATCTATTCTAAAATCAAATCAAATAAATAAAGGCCTGCTCTAAAATACCCCAGATAAAAACCTATACTAAAACCTAATTAAGACTACGCCAGGCCGGCCGCACGAAATAGATGGGTTTAGGGCTGCAACTCAATGAATCCTTCCAAGCACACTACTGCTTTGTGGATATCGCAGCTCATCCCGTAATCTGATTCATGTTTTTTTTTTTTACATTGAAACTTGCATTCAAAAACCTGCAGTTTCTGTGCAGCACTGTATATTTAGATCTTCTGGTTTGGAAGTACAGTCCTTATTGGATGAACTGACAAGCTTGGGTTTTTTTTTTCAGAGACCCAAATTTTTAAATGTGGTACAGATATACCTTATGATTATAGTGCCTCTTCACTCAAGGAACTAAAAATTATATGCATGGTTGTTGTTTATGTTACTTGTTTATCCTTGCAGTAGTGCTATAAAATAGGTTAGTCAGAAACTGATTCAATTTTCTCCTCTAGCACATTTTTTATAAAATGAGCTTAGAAATAAAAAGTTGTAAGACTTCACTATAGTAGTGTGTTTATTTGATGTATTTTATTGGTTTTCATACTTGGCTAGAATTTAAGTTTGCTTACATTTAAGTATGCCTGAAAAGTATTGTTCCCCCCCCTTTTTATAATAAGACTTTAAAAAATATTTTTAAAAGTTACAAGAAGCATTGGCCAAAACTGGAATTAATAGAATTCAAAAAGATCTTATTTTCAAGACTGATTTCTAACAATGTAAGATAGATTGTAAAAGTAGATCAAAATAAAAAAGCACATCCCAGTTAAAATACACTTCAAACTTGAAACATTTGCTTCTGAGATAATTGTAGGATTGAACTAATGTACATATTTTTAAAGTTTCAAATTCATACTTAATCACCAAACTACTAAAGCGATTCAACAAATGTGCAAACGGTTTTCCTAAATTTCATAATGCCAGATAAAATCTTAGTATATATTATATTAGTATATTTTATATTAAGGCCCTACAATATTTTTTCATGTGTTCAGCATTTTCAAAATGTTTATATTTTGCATACAGACAAAGACCTGCTGAATCAGATCATAAACCTATCTACTCTCACATTCTGTATCACTGTGGCCAACTAGATGTATTTGAGAAATTCACAAGCCAGACCTAGAAGGCAACAGCCACATCCCCTGTTGCTTTCTAGCAATAGGCATGCTATTCATAGACACTGATAGCCTGATACTCCATGAACTATCTAGTCTCCTTTTAAAACATCCAAATGGGCTACCTATTCTCACTCATGGCAGCAAATTTCAAAAATTGATATTAATATTAATAATTAAAAAGTTGGAAGGTATCTTGGGGGTCATCTAGTCCAACCCCCTGCTCAGGCAGAAAACCCTATACCATTTCAGACAAATGGCTGTCCAGTCTTATGCTTTTAATAATGTATTATTTCAATCTAGAATCTCACTATTTAGTTTCAAAAGATTACTTTGAGTTTTAACATTGTAAGAAAATTTTCTGACTTTTTCGTTATACTGTATGTGCCTCTATCAAACCTTGCCCTTGCTTTTAAACTAGATTTCCATATGCTATATTCTTCTTTGCCAGAAAGCTGCTATTTAGTGTTATGTGTAGAGAGTAAGGGAAATATCTTGATGGAAATATGCAAGAAATATTACTTAGGCAAAAGAGACTAAAACATATTTTAAATCCAGAGAAACAAGGTAACATTGGAAAGCGGCTCAAGCAAATGCCCCTTTAATTTGTATGAAATATAAAAAGAGCAAGGGAGTACAATGCAATTAATCTCACTCTTCTATATGTGTGCTTATTTTTATTTTAATATTTCAACTGCTTTACCTGCAGTAAATGTTTGAATAATTGGCCTACAGTTATCATTCCTTTAAGACAGGTCCCCAACCCCCGGTCCGTGGACCAGTACCGGGCCGCCCAAACAAGCAAAGGTCCATCTGCAAGATGCAGGCAGCACACAAAACCACACACTCTCCGGTCCACGGAAAAACCTCTCTCCACAGAACCGGTCCCTGGTGCCCAAAAGGTTGGGGACCTCTGCTTTAAGAGGGTCACTTCAGCTATTAGACCTATGAAAGACATGAAGATGTTTAAGATGATTTGTGAACAGATCCATTTCGTATTTAAATTCTTTTTAAAAATTTTCAAGTGGATACCATTTGGACGTGGGTTCATTAAATTAAGTTGGTCATTTTTTAAAATTATTTTTATGTATATCTTAATAAATTCTGCCATTTAAAATTGACATCTGTTTTGTTTCGTCAGTAGTGAAGACAGAAGCAAGTAATTCATTCAGTTACCCTGCTGTTTCCTTATCTCTTCTCATATTTTTAATACTTCATTAGTGGCCCAGTAACCTTTATGGTTGGGTTCCTATTCCAAATAAATTTGCAGATGTTTTAATATTTTCTGCTTAATAGTCTTTTACATACATTATTTTATCAATTGGTTGCATATATTTGCCAAAGTTTGTTCTTTCCTGTTTTTCTTATTTGAGCAAGACTTCCATTTTTAAAGTCACCTTTTGGTTATAAATGCATTTCAGACTGCTATAAAGGAACAGTTGGGGAAAAAGCACAATAGATTCTTAGAACTGGAAAGAGTTTGCCATTCCTAAATATTCAATTTCCTAATTAGTTTTATAGTTTATATAATTTGGGCATGCATTTTTAAAGAGCAGTATATTAGCGCTGCCCAAATGTTGATTTGTACCCTAACCCATATAGTTCTACCTAGGAATTCAGCAAAGAAAGTTTCTTGCCATGAAAAGACATCCTTGCATCCAGGACACACTCTTTAATGCCACACTGGGAGCTGGATTTAATATTGTGGGTTGTATTTTAATAGAAAATGTAATTACCAGTAACTAGCCTAAAACCTGGTCTGTTACTTTTACAGGTGGGAACCAGCGTGAACTTTCCCGCCAGAAGAATATGAAGAAAGCCCAAGAACATAGCAAGGGGAAAAGAAAAGAGGACGCTTTGTCAGCTTCTCAGAGGAAACAGAGGTATAGTTGCATAATCTGCGACACCTTTCATATCTTAGCTCATGAATAAATAGTACAAGTTCTGCATATAATTTTTCTGTGCGCAGAAAAACTAGAAATTTTGCTCTTTTGAATGTATTAATATTAAATTGATGAGTTCAGCTCAATACCTGAGATTTATTTGTTGATGTTTTGACTCTATAAAAATTGGCACCACAAACTGACTTTATTCTTTCCTTTTTACAGAGATTCTGAAATTATGCAGCAGAAGCAAAAAGCAGCTAATGAGAAGAAGACTCATCAGGCAGGAGCAAAATAATATGTGGCTACAGAGAGGACCTAATAATGCTGCAGCATCTCAAAATATAGGGCCTAAAAAGACATATTTGTAAAAGTAGCCAGCCATTAAATGGTTAATGTTTATCTTCTACTTGCTTGCTTGTCCAGTATGCATTTATTTTAGAATGTATAGTGTATTTGCAGCTGACTTGGCTTTGACTGAATTACTAGATTGGATTGCATTTTAAAGTTGTATTTCCCTTTGCATGTCTGTTAGTAACAGTAGCAATAGCCAAAATGTATGTTATTGTTAAAATGTTTGCTCAATAAATTGCTTGTGTGATTATACCAGTTATTATATATGCAAGTAGGCTGGGAAATGTATATGGTAACACTCTTACATTCAGAAGTGATATTTTAAAAGGACAGGTATGTGTACTTGCTTTCCACTTTGTAAAAGGTCAGCTGTAAAGTTAAATCATAAATTATTTTTACAATAAAAAATATTGCATGACATATTATCAGAATTGGGTACTCAAGAAGCTCCAATAGATTTCAGTTATTGCTAAAAATATGACATAATTTAGGGAATCCTTTAGCACAAATAACTTGCCTTTTATCATGTGTTCTAATTGCAATCTTGAGTATTTAATACCATTCTTCAGTAATTGCAAACCAAGATTCTCTATATGTAAAATTGCTATTAAAATCTAATTTGAATTAAAATATAAACTATATTTTGAGTAAAAATTGGTTCAGGATAAGTGCAGCAGTGAAGGAATGGGTTGCTTAATTTTTTTGATATGCAAGATTACGGTATTTCAAAGACAGTTGGTAAGGATCTTATTTGAACAATTAGTTTTACATGCATAATTGTGTTTCAGTTTGTGACAGAACCAGACTGACCTAGAATTAGATCAAGAGAATCTTATGAGAACAGCAACTTCTTCTGAACAATGAAATTTTATTAGCATACATGTCAATTGGAAGAGGATAAATCAGGGTGACCTTAACTTAATTCTGAACACTTCAAAGACTGTGTGCTAGAGCATACAAAGAACTAATTGCATTGTTTGAAAGGCACAGATAATTCAGAGTCTTTTAGGTCAGAGAAAGCAATTTTTATTGCAACAAAGATATTTTGAAAATGGCTACTAGCTATGATTTAATTTTTAAACAAGTGTTGTGATTTAAATGTGATACATTGGTATAAAACTTAAAGTAGGATAACCTTGCGTCTTTCCTGTGATGTTACTAAATTTTAATTACACGTGAGAATAAAAAATAGGTGGATTTTAGTTAAGACTAACTTGGAGTTTAGGTAAAAAATTGGCCTTCTGGATTAAGAACAATTTGTAGATATTACAGATTCAGTTCCAGAAAGGTGCTTTAGAACATATGGCAACTGTAAAATGATTGAGAATTAAGAAATATTCCTAACATCTTAGCCTACAGCCAGTTCCTATGATATAGTATGTGTTTTGTCTTCATTAATTGGACAACGACTAGCTGACAACAAAAAGTTAAAGAGATGGATATCTTTACTGCCATCTAGAAATCGTTTGGATTTTTGCAGCCTTGCATACGTTTGCCCTCTTTTCTGCTCTTTGCACTGTAATCAGCGGGAACAGAATTGTGGCAAAGATAATAGAGTACTTACAAAAATCAATTTAAATTAAATTCTTTTTTTTCAAGCAATATAGTTACTGTATTAGAGTCTTTCTCACAGTCTTTATCATTCATTCAAGTTGAACGGGGTAAGTATTTTTGTTTTAAATATTCTCTGTAAAGAATTTAGGGGTACTATATTTTACTAAAATTTAACAGTGTAACCCTAATTATGTAGGCATCTGACTGTTGTGAGATTAAATTTATTGCATGTACTAGGATGCATTATATGCAGCGTCTGTAGGTGGCAGTGCATGGCTTTTTCTTTAGGATTGAAAAAAAATGGTCAGATTAGGAAAACTACCACAAAAATCCTAAAGTTGTATGCTAGCCAGGAAATTGAAAAACTTTCCATAATAAGGCAGTGGCAAATGATTTTTGTATTGTCGAGAAAACTGCAATATGTTAATGATATCACCAAGAGTAAAGTCAGATTCAAATGAAATCTGTGTGTTAATGTAGACAGAACTGAGTTGTATAAATAGAGAAGAAACACTGGATGAGGAGATATTTGGTCCCAAAGGATATTTCATCGTAAATGCATTCTATAACAGATTACCAAAGAGCCATCCATCTTTCAAAGATCTTTCAATCATTCTTATAAATTTATAGATCTTAATAATTTTTGAAATATATTTTTGTCATTTTCAAAACAAATGTAGTGGATTACAGAAGTATCCTGAAAAATGCATTGCCATTTTAAATGCAATGTGTGAGGAACAAATAAGAATACAGCAGCATGGAATGAAATAAAATCATTTGAAAAGAATGGTTCCTTACTTATGAGCATCAAAATTTTAAGTTTAAAAAATGAAAAGCCTTTTAATTCATGACAAGCTCAGCATAACAATGGGATTATTACCCACTTGTTTTCTTGCTTGGCATTAAGCAAAGTGAGGTACAAATGTGAAGCAGTAAGGAAACAAACACCTAGAGCAGTGGTGGCAAACCTATGGCACGGGTGCCAGAGGCGGCACTCAGAGCCCTCTCTGTGGGCACACATACTCCAGCCCCACCTCCCCCCGTGGCCCCCTCCACCAGCAGCCCCCCCAGAGGAGAGTCGCCCCCAGGTGCAGCCCGTATGGAGCAGTGCAGCCAAGGACATGGCAGCCGGGCAGTAGGGACAAGATTCCGCCCTTGCACCCCGTTGCGTGCAGATGATATTGCAGGGCGTGGCTGCCATGGCACTACAGGGCCGCCTGGGCGATTGGTGGGCCGTAGAGGTGGTGGGTGGCTCTGTGGGTGGGGGCGGGGCGGTTTTTCGGCACTCAGTCTCTAAAAGGTTCGCCATCACTGACCTAGAGGATTTTCTATTTTGTGTTAAATTTGACTACCATTAAAGCTTTATGCAAAAGCTAGAGGACCAATAGATAACAGTAAAGAGAAATGCTTCAAATATTGTAGCTCTAGTACTACCCACCTCAATTTGGGAGTTGGTGGATGTTTGTTGGTTGACCATTGGTCATGTAATACTTAGTATAGATCCTGATAAACAGACTTCAGCTTTTGGCCCTTGCTGTATTTTGTCAAAAGAATATTGTAATACCCTACCTTTGGTTGCTAACAAAAAGCATTCTCTTTGGTGGTGGTGGAAGGGAGACACTTATTTTTAAATGCACTAATGGATTGCATTAACAGCAACTGGCAGGTTGCTGCTCCTTGGTACTGTACCAATTACTGATCAAATTGACACAAACACACTTTGCGAAGAGGTGAAAGTAAGTATAGTGTGCTTACATAACTGTGTTGACCTAAGCTAGGCTAGAAATTAGCAGACAGTTCCAGTTCTGCCTTAGGCATGAAAGCCAGCTGGATGACTTTCGACCAGTCAGTCTCTCAGCCCAACCTGCTTCACAGGTTGTTGGGAAATGAAGTGGAGGAAGGAATATTAGGCATGTTCACCACTTTTAATTATTTATCAAAGTAATAAAGGGCAGGATAAAAAAAAAATCTAAGCAAGAAGAAATGGGTCAGTTGACGGTGGGTAAAGGATTGTCAGATTAATTACATTTACGGGCTACGCCAAGCAGAACACTGGCAGTCCCTTGGAGATAGGACTTGAGAAGGGTGGTATGCTTGTGGCTATAGAACAGTGGTTCTCAACCTGTGGGTCGGGACCCCATTTGGGGTCGATCGACCATTTCACGGGGGTCGTCAAGCAAGACTGTCCGCCATTTTTTTTGTCCATTTTTTCCCCCTTTTCCGGCGGGTGCCTTACCTCCCTTGGGCTGGGCCAGCTGGTGGTCAGCCTGCTCCGTCTCTGCCGCTTGCCAGCTATGCCTCGGCCGGCGCCGGGGGCAGAACCATGCATGCGCGGTGCTCCCGGGCAGGGAAAGTCCTCGACTTACGACCGGTTGGGTAGTCCTCGACTTACGACCGGTTTAGTCCTCGACTTATGACGGGTTGGGGTCGCGGCATTAAAAAGGTTGAGAACCACTGCTATAGAATCATTCTTGGAAAATCTTGGATTTTCTTAGGATAAAAAAATGATTCCCAACCTGCTGCTTTCTGTAGATTATGCCTCCCCAAATCACTCGCTGTCGCCCCCGTTGGCTGGGCATTTGGTAGGTTGTGGCCTCCCTGTTGGAAAACGCCGAGCCGGTCTCCAACTGAGCAAGAGCCGGTGTTTGACGGCCGTTAACCAACGAAGCGATGATCTCCTGGCAAGGGAAGCCTCCCAACCAGTAGGGGACGGTGCCGCGCAGCCGGCCGCGCTTGCGGAAGCCTCGTTGGCCGGACCAATTCCCATGAGATATTTGGCGAAGGAGGCAGGCGGTACCCGCGAAGTGGCCTTCGGGAAAGGCGCTTTCTTTCAGTCGTTTTCCGCTTTTCACTCTGGCTCGGAAGTTCACATGGCTTCTCGCGATGCAGGGGGCGACGCGGTCCTGTTCAGACGGGGGGCCGGGCAGGTAACGGCGCTAGGCGGCGTCTCTTGGAGGGGCCTCGCCTTTCCTTCTTGAGAACCACGGTCGCGGTGACTGGCCGGGAGCTCTGAAGCGAAGGAAAGGAAACAGCGAGGGAGCCTAAGCCCCTTTACTTAAAGCAGGGGTAGTCAACCTTGGCTCTTTTATGACTCGTGGACTTCAACTCCCAGAATTCCTGAGCCAGCTTAGCTGGCTCAGGAATTCTGGGAGTTGAAGTCCACGAGTCATAAAAGAGCCAAGGTTGACTACCCCTGACTTAAAGGAGGAAGCGTGGGGGCCGGCGGGGAGGGGGCTGGCTGGCCGGCCAGAATGGCGTTCGGGCTGCCCGAAATGTGGGGAAGCGCGAGGCTCCTTTCAGCAGGGCGAAGAAGCGCCCGAGTTTCTCGACCTGGGAGCTGCGCTGGAGACGGAGCAAAACGGCTCGAACCTTGCCGGCATTTCAGAAAGAGTTTTGTCGTGCTGCCCGGCAGGGAAGCGTGTAAAGTTGCTGTTTTTTTTCCCATTCCACGCGATAGAGTCAACTTGGCTGGTTCGCGTCACCCAGAGCTTCGGCTCCAGCATGTCAGTAGTATTCCTGAAATAAAGTAATAGTGATGTCCGACAAAAGCCAAGATTATTCACACTGCATGGTTCATTGTTGAGACGTGTGTGGGTGTGTGTTTGAACTTCTTCAGAAAAATACGTTTTTTATTCTGCTTTTCACAGAGTGATGATTCTGATATATGGGATGATACAGCCCTGATCAAAGCGTATGACAAAGCTGTTGCATCTTTTAAGGTAAGACACACAATGGAATTTCACGCTCACTAGGCTAAAAGATTGTTTTTCCTGAAATGTATACATCATATGCTTTTTGATTCTTAAACATTAAACTAGCTAGAAACCAAAGAGAAAATGCTAAAGAAATCATTTTCCCTATTAGAGATGTAGTCAGAGTACAAAAAGCTTCACACACTTGCACTCAAAACGCAAAACATTTCAGGAAGAACATGTTTATATGAGGGCAATTAGGAAATAAACCTCCGTTTGGTTATCAATGACAGACACTTGCAGAAACAGAACTTTTATTATACATATTAGAAAGCTACAACATTACATTACTTTTCGACATAATCACCATTCAAATTGAGGCGCTTGAGGCATCTTACAAGGTTTGAAATTCTTTAGTAGTAGTCGCTTGGCGCCAGATCTGGGCTTTGGGGGGGTGATCAAAAACATCCCAACGGAACTGCTTCAAAAGTTCTTGGGGGGAGTATAGCGGTGTGCGGGCCAGCATTATCGTGAACCAACACCACACCGGAAGTGGTGCCATAGAAAACCCTGCCAAATGTGAAGATGCCAAAGGAGTGCTGCTAATGAAGTTCATGGAGCGTGGTTCGACCATCAGTTCAGAAGTTACTGTGAAACCTTAAGAAAACTCAGACAAGCCATCCATAACAAACATCGGGTATAATAAAAGTTCTGTGTCTGTGAGTGTCTGTCATTGATAACCAAACAGAGGTTTATTTCCAAATTGCCCTCATATACAAAGGGATTTTATTTTCTAAATTTTACTTGTTATTTATCTTGGGGGGGGGGGAATGAACTATGTGCCAGGACTAAGCCCCAGGTTGGCTACTCTTCAGCTCCCCAATCATACTCTGGTTAATTTAATTTTGTAACAAATTTTGTAAGAAAACCAATATAGATTTTTAAAGAGACTTTTTATTTTAATAATATATTCTAGTTAAATAGCCAAAATTACAAGTTGTTTGTCTTGTGCCTGCAGCATCACCTTTATGCTTAACTATGTAGAAGCAAGCAAACTAAATTTGAACCAATATGTCACATTCTCATTTTCTGAGAATTACATATCACTTGAAAGCTTACAGAAGTTCTTAAGAACTACATTTTAGAAACCACAGTTTGAAAGAGAAACAACCAAACTATCTGCTTATATGATACTCAGACACATCACAAATCTTCGAAGGATTGCTTGTACAGTCCCAAGAGATTTTTTTTTACATGTTTTGATTTATTACATTCTATATGTTACATAATTATTTCAAATTGTTTAAAATATGTTTATTTAAACAATCATAATACAGTTAAAAGATTGGTAGTTGTAAAATGAAGTTTTACAGTGGGTGTTGAATATATAAGCAGCTGGTTGCAGAACCAATGAACCTGAAAATTAAGGGAGTTGGATCTAATTAACATTTGATTGAAAGTCTATCAGGATTTTCCCAAGGTTAGACTAGGTAGTGGAAAGCCAGTTGCCAAGGAAAACACATCTATGAACCACCAGGAGTCAAGCTGAACTTGAAGAAATGTCTATTTTTACTAATTTCTTTACTTTCTCCCACAGAATGCCTTGAAGAATGGTGACTGTTCAGAGCCTTTGGACAAAACTGAGCAAAATGCTGGAACAAAAAGAAAAAACAATAAAAAGAATAAGAGCAGAAAGAAAAATAATGCTACAACACAAAAACAGGTTGTTGGTTGTATAATAGTACACTGCATTTAGAATTAATAAAAGAAC